AAAGTGCTGGGTATGTATGCTTTCCTATTTATTAATTAATGTACCACAAACAACCAAGCCCCCTGCCAGTGATGTTACGTTTTGCCGACCTCATGGGCCAGAAATAAATTTTAGGAATGTCATTTTAATTTATGTCTATCTATCTTCGTTTATATGATCTGAAAACACCAGCAGCTGGCAACACCCGCATTTATTTGCGCAGGGATTCGAGTGAGCAGGTCTGTACGACGTGCAATGTGCATGCCTTCACGCATATATTGTATGCGTATCTATATGAAATGTATTCACATCGGTTAACCTGTATTTGCACCGGAGTCGTACTTTGACATCCTTGCACCTGTTCTTCATCACCTGTTTCATGTTTCACAAGCCACTTGGCCTTGGGATAAGGATCAAATGATCTCGAATGCATGATTCAGGACCGTAAACAATGAGCTGTGGCGCCGATAATAACCTACAGTAAATCTTTCAAGTGTGCAGGCCGTCATCTCAAGGGATGATTCAGCGACAGAATGTCGATAGGCTGCAGATATCTCTTAGCATCTAGGACTAGATTATATTATGCCTACCTGTCTAGATCGATCTAAGAGATCTCAGGTCAGACTCTCCCCTTCCCCCGAGTGTCAGCATTGTGTTGTAAGTGATCGATTTCTTAACTCACATATTTGGGTCGAAATGCAAAATACGAATGTATCGCTTGACATGCCCAACCATGAAATAGCTAAACGTCATGCTTGATGCTATAATATAATTTCAGTTTCCGACCTACCGTTGTCAGTAACTCACCTTATATGAGACACCGCGTCGCACAGCTTTACGCCATGTTATAACGGGACTGAACATCACAAACACAGTGGGAAAATCTTTTGTATCAGGCTGAAAATATTTCATGTTGTGGAAAGTATTTGACGATATGCAGTATGCACGAGCTCCTGTGTTTCGGAATTCACATACGACAGCAGAAGAATTGTCGCAATGAAATACAATTTCAGCGTAAAAAGTTGATCACGGGCCTCTATTCCCATGCAACAAGTCGTTGATATTGAAATACGGAAGGAGGTTGCAACTAACCAATCTGGCAGGCTCGTCAAAAAAAAACTGGCTTACGACAATACTAAGTGATACGAGAATTGTCACTTGGAACTCTTGCGGGATGTACATGAACGTCAACCGCACATATCCGAATTCTACTCCCTCCAAACTAAGGTCATCGCCAAACAATTATCAAACACCCTTCAATCCCGTATCGGTGAGAGCACAATCATCGGACACACGTCAATCCCGCATGGTGAGAGCACTAGCATATGGTTCAACTACGACCGACTTCGAACGCATTCTTACACAATAATGACACTTTGTCAATATTGAGCTTATGCGACATTCAACACTTAGTGACACAAACCGTCCCTGTATGTGCAATTGCACTTTAACGTTACAAAGCCTGATTTGATGCTGATTCACCAGTAAGTGTGCCCGACTGTCCGAGACCCTCTCAGATGAGGTCATCAAGCGCCGACTGTGCAGTAGCCCACCGAGAGGACCCAGGTCACCTGTTCCACCGATATCCCGATATCCCAACGTTAACCCGCCCCGGTATCTTGCTCGATGACCACAGAATTAACCAGCGGCGTTCGACCCTGCGATCGTGCACACGGATAAGATAGCCTGCCGAAACACGTGAGCCGCGATAGCAAGGCCGTCATGACCTACAGGGGTGGTCGAGGTGATGGTCCGACTGTTGTCGCCAGACACAACAGGGAGCCGACCGCGGCCGTACACGGTAAGATGCAGGGGCGATCCAGAAAATCTCCAAGGGAGGGGCCATTAGAAACCAGGAGGCCCCCCCATAATCCCACCTGTTGGAGGCCCCATCTTCCCACTTGTTGGCCCCCCCCAAAAAAACTGCGTCTATTGAGCTTATCTAGCTGTTCAGGCAACATCTCAACATCTGTGCAGGCTTGGAGGCCCTCTGTGCAGGTTAGCAGGCCCTGTAAAAGTGGTCATCTCTGTGAGTATAAGAGACCTCCAAGTTATGAAAAGCTTTACCAATCTTCTAACAAAGAAGTCTTCTCAGCTAGTCTTCTAAGAAATAACTAAGTGGGTAGGTTAAAAAAAAAACTCATCGGATTTCGGCCACTTTATTTTCAGGAGGCCCCCTTTTCAGCTTTTTAAATTTTTATTTTATTTTTGAAAAAAAATCGGCCAAGGGGGGGCCATGGCCCCCATGGCCCCCCCCCTTGTATCCGCGCCTGGTAAGATGAAGCGCTTTGGGTGTCATGTTAAATGTAGTGTTCAGAGTTAAACACGGTAAGGTAAAGGGTATCATCTTAAATTACTTACAGTGTGAACTTGCTGTGTACTTCACCACGACTTTGACAGTCAATGTATTTTAGCACTAGCCTATTCAAGGTCCGAGAGGTTTTCAAACTAAGAAACCATTTGAGGGATATGCCCGCTGCGTGCCAAACCACTTTTTATTCATCGATGCGTCTGACTGAAAATGACGTTTTTAAAAGGACAATCGGAGTAACGCAAACACATAATCACTAGTGTAAGTAGACAACTGCCGAATATATCTTCTGAAACATGAAAAATGGGGCCAACATCATTGCAAAATAATAGCATCCTTCATCATTCTTTCTAGAATAATAGGTAAAACTTATTCTGGTGCGGTTCTAGCGACACTGCAATAGGGCGGACAGATTAGATAAGGCCTACGACCATTAACCATGACAATTTAACAAGCATGCTACTGTGAGCAGGGTGGCTTAAGGCTACGGTTATCTAAGTCCTTAGTAATTCGCAAGAACATAATCCAACTTACATAAATGCACAACAAAAGTAGGTAAAGACAAGAGATATCAAAAAGGACCTTTCTTACAAAGTGCCCAATCGTATAAGAAATAAGTAGCACCATCGCATAAAGAAACGACCGTTAAGAGCGCGTGTTTCGACGATCCCTATGCATTCAGTTTTAAGGTGACCCTCTCCCCTCCCTTCCCAGAAAGCATCTTGCATTGTGAGTTTGGTTAAAACATCTTTTTTTCTTTTGCTATGATTACAGTCACTCAATTCAGACGGACTATAGAACTGCTGCCAAGTTCGCCTTTTACTAGCGTTACTAATTGACTTATGTGAAGTGTTGCAGGCATGTCATCAACTGAAAGAACAATGACTGATTCAGAGAAATCGAAAGGTTGCACTTGAAATATTGTATTGACATGATAAAACAGTAGATCGCTTACATGTTATGTAAGCGAGTGCTTCCTGAGCTTATATCCGTAAAAATCTGAGTCACACAATTTTTCTGAAGCAATCGGATCCCACCATCAAAAGCACCCTCGCAGAAGCTCACTCATACACCAGCCTACATATGAAGCGGTGCGTTTCAGGTGCCTGGATGGGATCAGGAGAATCGGTGCCGACGGCGCCGGCCGGGGCGACGGTGCCAGACATCTGCCCCGCTTACAACTCAGCAGCGGCCTACTGCACCAGCGACAGCTGCCTGAGTCTGCACATCTGCCAGGGCTTCGTCATCGGAAACTGTCTCTACGGCGAGAGGTGCAGTCGCACCCACCAACTGACCACTGTGCATAACCAGCTGGTGCTGAAGGTAAATAATTGGACACAGCGAGCAGCATCCCCAGTTGATGACCATGCTTAAAGAGAAAGTCGGACAAGGAGCAGCTAGTTGCAATGGGGTGAAGATTTCAGGTCTGCCAACTCCTGAGCTATGTCTAGACTACAATGCTCTAGGATGTGTGCGTGAAGATTGCAACAAGCTCCACCTCTGTCTGCATTTCATTTTGAAACAGTGCAACGCTTCGGAAGGTCAATGCCGTTTTATGCATGACTTTGGCAGGGATGAGCACAACATGCTCGTGCTAAGAGGCGCAGGACTTCTAGACATAGATCAGAGCGTTATCATTAAAAACCTCAGCGAAAAGTACAGAAACCTATACAGCGAAAAACAAAACATCGCGAAAGCTGAGCCGCGACGGGGAGACGGAGCATCTGTTCGACAAACGAACGACCCCACACTCGAACAGGCTGAGCGGAGAACTGAAAAAGCCCAAAAAAGCCGATAAAGGAGCACCAAAACCCAGAAAAGCCCCGAGTGCTTGCATTGAATACAACAAGCGCTTCTGCACTAATCCTTCGTGCCCTTTTCTGCACGTCTGCTTCAGCTATTTAATGGGGCGCTGCAACAAAAAGAGCTCATGCCTCAAAGAGCATAACATCTTCAGAGGCGAACACAACAAGGAGATACTCCAAAAGTTCAATCTGCTTGATGCCGAAGACGTGTTCGCCACGATCCGTGAAGGATATGCTGCCAGAAAGGCGCGAAGAAGGCCGCGGCCGTCGAGTGCCCGGAGGGTGCCACTGGCGGAGAGGAGCCACCGTCAGCGCCGCAGCGGGCCGGCGCCGGCGCCCCGGTCAGCCTGACCTGCGCGGTGTGCCACGAGTTGTTCGTGCGCGCCACCACGCTCGGGTGCACGCACACCTTCTGCGAGGGCTGCGTGCGCGACGTGCAGCGCCAGAGGCAGCCGTGCCCGCTGTGCCGCGCGCCGATCGCCACCGCCGTCCGCTCGCTGGTCATCGACGACACGGTGGCCGAGTGGTTCGACGGACAGGACGAGGAGACGCGCCGCGCCCGGCGACAGCTGGAGGCCGAGCGACGCCGCCAAACCTAGCTGCGCGGCTCGACCAGCCGCCCAGCAGCCGCTGGAGACGACTGCACAGCCACCGGCAGCCGGCAGCCGCACCCTTCGAGAAAGCTTACTTATGTCTATGTGGCACACTATGTCTCACTCCAAAAGCGGATCATGTTTCTCGATATTTCCGAAGTGGAAGAAATGGACAACAATGCGAACAATAGGCGTAAAACAACACTTGTAAACCCTGTATGTATGCTTTGTAATATTAACAATCGTAAGTCGGTAAGGTACAGTATGAAAACCTATAGATTCGTATGGCACCAAATCGCAATCATTGTGATGCTTACCAATGGTGATTGTTATTTTGATGGATCAAATAAAAAATAACAATAAAACCGATTCTCTTTCCGATTACGATGAGCGCGGAAAAGCAGGGAAAGGAGAGTGAAGGAAAGAGAGCGAGATTGAGAGGGAAAAATTCAAGACCAGGGAACCGCCACCGAAGAGAGTTAAAGGGACTATCCCACCTTTAACATGGGGTTTGAGTTGAGATAGCCAAGTTTGCGGCGAGGTTCAGAAACCACTATCTATAGTAGGTTGCAACCCCCGCGGCCTCTTGGTGTTGAAGAGATTCGTTCCCTTCATTTGAAAATGGGCCTTGCGCAAGGCCCTATCTTCAACATGGAGCGACCGTTAGTGTGACATCACCTCGTTTAGTCATTCTGATTTAAAGGTAGTGTGCCACCTTTGAAAGATTTCCCATTTTATTTTTCCTAGGATAAGAAGCTTCTGTTTTTACCTAATATCGCAAAAAAAAACAAAAATGGGCCTGGAATAGTGCCTTTTTCGCCTAAAAGTTTATCGGTTTTTAGATATGTATAACAACTGTAGTGGGCTCACCTGCAAACAGGCGTCGGGCAACAATCGCGAATGCGGCGCACTTGTGACAATAAGCAAAGGTCATTATAGTGTTACGACCATACGACGTACGGGAATGAGTTATCAGCTGTCTAATCGTAGACAACACAATGTCGAGCCTTAAACTGTAAGCCCGTATTGGTATTGTTTCTTTTATTTGGCTGTCGAACATTATTTATGGTTTGAAATATGATTTTATGTAAAATAATTGATATGAAAAAGCCGTCTTATAAGTTATGACCCCATTTCACCACACGCAAGTGGCAGAAATGACAATGATCAGCTGACACATTTTCTTGGCCGAAGTCAGAGCGCGCAGCCCGACGCACCACCACCGCACTACAAAGTATGAGCAGAAGCCGCACCCAAAGCCAGGGCCCCGGTAACGTGAGGTAGCCGAGTCGGGGCAGCGTGCGCTGACCCAAGCCGGGGCCGCAGCTTTGGGCGCGGTCTACCGCATCCCCGCGGGCAGCCCCGGGCTAGCACATGACACCGGGAGGACGCGCGGCTCCGGCTTGGGTCAGCGCACGCTGCCCTGACTCGGCTACCTCACGTTACCGGGGCCCTGGCTTTGGGCGTGGTCTACCGCACCACCTAACAGGCGTGTTCGAAACCGCAGGAGCTGATGATGAACGGGTTTATCGAAACTTGATTGGATGAGCATATCGGTAATAGCGATTTCAGTGTGTGCATTTATTGTTCATAGTGGTGTGAAATGTGGTTGGGGTACGACCGACAACCCGTCGGGGCGAATTTCGCACTGGGGTACTCAAAATTTGAAGAATTTAAGACGTTTCCATGAGTTTTGAAGGTATGGATAAGTTCTAAAAATCCGGTTCTCCTTATCTGGGCCATTAACTCCATACGGTCCAGGAAAGCTGGCACACTACCTTTAAATGGGTTTGTTCGTTGAAAAATCGCTTAAAAATTGGTCTGAACTTTGTTGTGGTGCCTACAGAGTAAAAAGAATCAGCTTTATGACAGTAATGTGGCCTGGGGAAGGAGGTAATTTTGGGCTGTGACGTCACATATTTGAAAGTTTGTGTTTGGAATATGGGAAGCCTAAGATGTTTAATGAAAAATAAATGCCAGAACCGTGTTCCTGGTCATCCAATCTATAAAGTCGGGCACAATTTAACTGGTTTTAACAACATTTTAGAAGGTGGGATAGTTCCTTTAAAGGTAGTGTGCCAGCTTTCCTGGACCGTATGGAGTTAATGGCCCAGATAAGGAGAACCAGATTTTTAGAACTTATCCATACCTTCAAAACTCATGGAAACGTCTTAAATTCTTCAAATTTTGAGTACCCCAGTGCGAAATTCGCCCCGACGGGTTGTCGGTCGTACCCCAACCACATTTCACACCACTATGAACAATAAATGCACACACTGAAATCACTATTACCGATATGCTCATCCAATCAAGTTTCGATAAACCCGTTCATCATCATCTCCTGCGGTTTCGAACACGCCTGTTAGGTGGTGCGGTAGACCGCGCCCAAAGCCAGGGCCCCGGTAACGTGAGGTAGCCGAGTCGGGGCAGCGTGCGCTGACCCAAGCCGGGGCCGCGCGTCCTCCCGGTGTCATGTGAAAGCCCGGGGCTGCCCGCGGGGATGCGGTAGACCGCGCCCAAAGCTGCGGCCCCGGCTTGGGTCAGCGCACGCTGCCCCGACTCGGCTACCTCACGTTACCGGGGCCCTGGCTTTGGGCGCGGCTTCTGCTCATACTTTGTGGTGCGGTGGTGGTGCGTCGGGCCGCGCGCTCTGACTTCGGCCAAGAAAAATGCGTCAGCTGATCATTGTCATTTCTGCCACTTGCGTGTGGTGAAATGGGGTCATAACTTAAGAGACGGCTTTTCATATCAATTATTTTACATAAAATCATATTTCAAACCATAAATAATGTTCGACAGCCAAATAAAAGAAACAATACCAATACAGGCTTACAGTTTAAGGCTCGACAATGTGTTGTCTACGATTAGACAGCTGATAACTCATTCCCGTACGTCGTAACTCTATAATGACCTTTGCTTATTGTCACATGTGCGCCGCATTCGCGATTGTTGCCGACGCCTGTTTGCAGGTCAGCCCACTACAGTTGTTATACATATCGAAAAACCGATAAACTTTTAGGTGAAAAAGGCACTATTCCAGGCCCATTTTTGATTTTCTTTGCGATATTAGGTAAAAACAGAAGCTTCTTATCCTAGGAAAAATAAAATGGGAAATCTTTCAAAGGTGGCACACTACCTTTAATGGGAACAAAACGGCTACTCGCCAGCATTCAGTGCGGCTTTCAGATTCTCCTTTTCAAGACTCGCCAAGCGTATGTAACAGGTCGAAAAGAGGCGCGGAGAGATGAAGGAGCTCCTCTGTCCCCTTGGGTGGAAGCCCCGTTTTCCATATGAAGCGCGCTGGCTGCCCAGTGGGTTCAAGAACATTGTACGTTTACATGTACCTACCATGCTTTGATGTTTCTAAAGGATATTTTTATAGGCCCTGAAAAAAAACATACTTGACCCACAAACCCTAAATGCAGCGATACTTCACGACGGCATTGAAAGGTTAAAGCCCGGGTCGGGGAGGGAGAAGATGCTCAATAGAAATGAGCCAGGGCACCGCTTCTTTTTAGACAACTGCCTGCCTCAGACTTCAATACTTGTTTCCCTGCCCGAGATCGGTAGCTAAACTAAAATGCCAGTACGACATTGCCAATAGTCACGCATGTAGATGTACACATTGCAAGTGCTCCTACCACTGTCCACTCGAGCTGACAGCTGGCGTTGGATGATTGGTTAACTGGTCATCTCTGCCCAACTCTGAGGCCTGCACTTCTGAGGCATCTTGCACCTAAATACAAGAGGGCTTATCAGCAAACTATTTCAGTAATTAAATAGCATACAGTGCCGATTTTTAGTGTTTCAGCTCATAACGTAAACCTACAGGTGCTCGGCACAATTTCTGGGTAAACTGTCACGGTAGCATTTCAGAGTGGGTACCGGGTATCGCAGAATGTAAGTACCTAAATTGCAATTTACCTGGTAGGTAGGCATTTTGCTGCAAAAGGCGTCCTGGTGGCCGTCTAGTCAGTGCAACCCTTCAAATCGTAGGCGGTCTGCCGGGCACGTACCTATATTTTATACATATAGGACAGTCACTCTACTCCTTTTCCATCGCATCCCCTTTCCCGTCTTGTGCGTTCCACCTCCGGGCGCCAGTGCATCCGTGTTCAGGTTTTCTCATTCACGTGATCGCCTTAGAATGATACAGAACATCTCTTGTTTCAGGGTCGCCATGGATCCCGAAACGGCGGAAGCCGAAATGCCTAGCATCAGCGATGCAGCTGGTGCTATCATAAGGGACAGACAAGTCCCCCACCTGTGTGCCCGCTACTTTAATGAGCATGTTTTGACGAAGCATGCCCGCGACTGCATGTCTGCCTTTGGTATATACTTACAACATGCAACAACAGTGGTTGCAAGAAGATTCACGACCTGCACACAGCAAAGAACCTCAAGGTGCTAAACGATGCCGGCTGGAGAGGCGAAGACGACATAAGACTTGTGTTCGAAAAACTACGCCGCATAGCTCGCGGGAAGAACGTTAACATCTGTACTTCGTACAACGAAGGTTCCTGCACAGGTCTCTCTTACAGCACGTGCAAGTGTCCCTATTTGCACGTCTGCTACCGGTATGCGTTAAATCATTGTCCGCTGGACGACTGCGACCTCAGCCATGACGTCAAGGCCGGCCAACACAACACCAACGTACTGGAAGCCACAGATCTATCAGACATGCCCTTGGCGGATTTGCTGCAACGGCTCAGCGAAAACGTTCGGCGATGCCGAAGACTCCGGCCAAAAATTTGCAAGAACTTTGACAGATCTGGCAGGGAGTGCAGCAAGCACTGTATGCGGTTCACCTTTGCAGTGCTTTCACGCGTGGCGAGTGCAAGAGCGGAGACAAGTGTTCCAGGGGCCACAGCCTGGGAGGCACGCACAATCGACGTGTGCTACGCTTCCTGAGCTGGACAGAGAGTCAGGCACTCGCACTGCTGATGCCGAACAGCAGTTACGCCGCAACGCCTGATCAGACGCAGCGGCCTGCAGAGGCGCAGCGACTCGTCAACTATCTCAAGGAATACAAAGAGCGAAAGGCAGGTGTTAGCAGACAGCGTCAGTCACGCCGGGACAGGAGCTCAGAAAGAGACTCTGCGGGAGATGTCTGCATCGTGACAGACAGCCGGGCAGCAGAAGACAAAATCGGAGAGGCAACAGAAGTGGACACAGAACAAAAGGTAGCGGACA